AAATACCATACCAATACCATACCATACCATACCATACCATACCATACAGGCAGATGTTGAAGACGGTACCGGTGGTATAAAATACAGCTGCTCCCTTGTAAAAAACATTCAGGTGCAGGCGGTACTTTTAGCGTTTAGTATGCGTTTCACAGACATTGGACTATACATGCCAGCCAGACCTTGGATTAGGACCTTGGATCACCAAAATGGAAAGACATGCAATTAAAATGAAAGGACATGAATACAAGAAGCAAGAACATGAATGCAAAATGAAGGAAATAAATGCTACTAGCGCTAGCGTTAAGTCGTATCAGCTTGTAAAAGTGCGCCTGAAAAAAGTTCAAGTTTGGCATCACCACAACTTTTAGTAATTGAACGGTTTCATTGTTTTGAAACCGTACGCCTAAAAAAAGTTCAATTTTTGTATTATTGATTTTTGATTTTTTTTAAAATATATTTGATCATTCTTTCAAGGGGGCAAGCGGGCGCTGGGCATATGCCTGAGTGACTGAGCATATGACTTAGTAATTGACCGGGTTTGTGTGTGTGTTCTTTGCTGTTGTTGTTCTTGTTGTTGTGGTGGTGATGGTGGCGGTCATCGTCGTCGTTGCCAATCATCCACTCTCTTTGCCTTTCATGTGCGCCGGTCCAAACATGTCCCCAGTTGCTTTAAATTTTCAATACGTTTATTACATTCACTGCCGCAATTTGGCATAGGCCGTGGGCACATGGGTCCATAGAGAGCCCATCCCTTCCGAGTACTTCCGAGGGCGGGACTTGCTGATCCTACATGGTCGACTTTTGGCTAAGGCGCGGCTGAACATTTAGCAGCGGAATTACGGGAAGACAGGTGAACATGTGTCATGCCATGCCATGCATGAAGATCCGGGAACCATGATAGATAATATATGTGATGTTTTTTCCAGAATAATGATAGAGTAAGTAATTAATCACGTACTGTACAGTATATAAAACATATCCTGAACCGACACCGTAACAATCTCTAGCACATCAGTAGCGAATCAAAGCAGTGATATCAGGCACGCAATCATCCAAGTGCATTTTTGTTTTTTCCGTCACTTCCAAGGCGCAACAGTCCTACTCCCACCCTGAACATGATGAAGTTGATGCGTTGACCTCATCGCGCCAACATGTGAGCTACTTGCAGGGCTGGAAGGTTGGGACATCCTCCCCATTTGCAGCTGGCCTAAGGCTGGCAAGACGGCTTCGAAGATAGAGGGAGTTCCGTTGGGGACCCCAAAGGTGTAAGATGTCATGGGCATGCCATACCATGCCATGGGTGTCGCAGTCCAGCGAAGATGTCAGGTGGCATCCCAGAAACAAAGTTACTCGCAATGTGCCGAGGGTAAATGCAAACAAGGATGGATGACATTGGGATTGTTGGGCAATGCCTCCACACCCTGACCTATTTCATTTTTCCACTTTTCCACCCCAAAAAAATTGTGCACTACCTCGTCAAGTTGGTCGGCCTTCATCACCATGTAATCCGTTTGAGGTCGCAGCACACCTTGAAGCGTGGACAGGGTGCAGAGGACACAGTATGCGGCCTAGCCGACAGCAATTCTGAAATTCAGGGGTTAGTTGCAGTTAGTTGTAGGGCAGCAATCCTGGCATAGTTCCCATTATCATCTCTTCATTCCTCAATATTGTTCCATCAATCAGGCCTTTGTGACATGTTTAAAGCCATCCGAAGCCTGCACAAAGCAGTGGAATCAGCCGCTAAGCCTGAGGCAATGGGTACGATGCACGGTACCACAGTTGTGGCGCTGCTTGATATGATACTTGAACATACTTGACGATACTTGAACCACCTTGAACCATCTTGAACCAACTCAAACTTTGTTGCCCTGGCCACCATTTCATGAATCAAGGCGTCCAGCGGCGATCGACGAAAAGCATGGGCCAGATGCTCAAATGAACATGGTGATTTGATACCTTCAAGTTGCTAAACACTACACTACACCACACCACCCCAAACTTCACTAGCCTGCACTACACTACACCACACCACACCTCACTACACTGCATTACACCACCCCACACCGCCCCACAACTCACTACACTAGACTACACCACACCACACCACACCACACCTCATTAGCCTGCACTACACCACCCCACACCGCCCCACACCTCACTACACTACACTACGCCACGCCACCACACTCCTCACTAGCCTGCACTACACCACACCACACCACACCTCACTACACTGCACTACACCACCCCACACCGCCCCACACCTCACTACACTAGACTACACCACACCACACCACACCTCACTAGCCTGCACCACACCACCCCACACCGCCCCACACCTCACTACACTACACCACACCACACCACCCCACACCTCACTAGCTTGCACTACACTACACCTCACCACACCACACCTCACTACACTGCACTACACCACCCCACACCGCCCCACACCTAACTACACTAGATTACTACACCACACCACACCAAACCTCACTAGCCTGCACTACACCACCCCACACCGCCCCACACCTCACTACACTAGACTACACCACACCACACCACACCTCACTAGCCTGCACTACACTACACCACACCACACCACACTTCACTCCACTGCCCTACACCACCCCACACCGCCCCACACCTCACTACACTAGACTACACCACACCACACCTCACTAGCCTGCACTACACTGCCCCGCCCCACACCTCACTACACTACACTACACCACACCACCCCACACCTCACTAGCCTGCACTACACTACACCACACCACACCACACTGCACTACACCACCCCACACCGCCCCACACCTCACTACACTAGACTACTACACTACACCACACCACCCCACACCTCACTAGCTTGCACTACCCTACACCACACCACACCACACCTCACTACACTGCACTACACCACCCCACACCGACCCACACCTCACTAGCCTGCACTACACCACCCCACACCGCCCCACACCTCATTACACTAGACTACACCACACCACACCAAACCTCACTAGCCTGCACTACACCACACCACACCGCCCCACACCTTACTACACTAGACTACACCACACCACACCACACCTCGCTAGCCTGCACTACACCACACCACACCACACCACACTACACCACCCCACACCACACCACACCACACCTCACTAGCTTACATTAGACTACACCACAGCACACCACACCTCACTAGCCTGCACTACACTACACCACACCACCCCACACCTCACTAGCCTACACTACACTACACCACCCTACACCTTCCCACACCTCACTCACTGCACACCACCCCACACCACCCCACACCTCACTGCACTACGCTACAGTGTTCACTTCACTACACTACGGTATACACTTGACTACACTACACTAGATTATACACTGCACTATAACCACAACTACAGCTACAAGTACAACTACGACTACAACTACAACTGCACTACACTACATTAGAGATAGATGGATAGACAGATCGGTAGACAGAGGGAGAGATAGAGAGACACAGAGAGAAGGTGACAGAGAGAGTTAGAGAGCCTCAACCACCTTTCGATCCATCAGTGGGTTCGCTCTGTCATCCATTCATCACAACAACTTGCCTCTCCTATACATGTATGTTTCCTATCTTTGAAACTTTTGCCACCGCTTTGTGCGGTTCTACTGGTATCATAATTTCTAGAGGAGCTTGCATGGTCCCAGGGCTGCCAGGGTACCGAACAATAACATGATCACATACACATGCGATTAAAAAACATGACTGTTTCCATGACTTTGGCGCTGATGTGATGCAACCATGTTATGATGGGAGACGATTGCGGCAAGCAAGTGCATGTTTGATGTTTTTCGACCAGGTACCCACCACAGAAATCCAGTCGTGGGGTGCATCCCAGCTAGAACCTCAGCGGAAAGACATTGTCAAATGGTTTGCTACATGGGAATCATCATGGAAAAGAACCAGTCAAACAATATCTTCAATATCTTAAATCTGAAGATATCCGACAATATCCGAAACAGTTTAAAATATTTCAATACACTCTGCTTGACATGTCGGGAATTGTGTTTGGACATCGGAGAAGTGCTGGAATGCTGCATAGTTTGGTCTAGTACTGAGCACAAAAAGTGCACCAATTTGTCTATCCGCAGCCCTCAGTGAATCGAATGCAAGATATTGTACTGTAATCAAGCAGCACTTCATGATCCAACCTTGGCACTGGACCTGTTGCATGGTCACACATCAATGAGATGGACTGATGAGCAAAGTTCAATGGTTGCCAGTGCAAGGTCCAAGGCCCAACGTCGCCAATTGGCGGGGTTTCCTTAGCGGCAGATGCGGTGATGTGGGGTGGCGCGACAAGATGCATTCCCAGCAGGAAGTTGTTTGGTTTGCGTGTTCCCCCAACATATGCAGCACTGCTTGCGAGAAATACACTTTAATCGTCACCCAGATACGGTGCATATTCCATCATTAGAGATGCAATATGGCGCGATGCATGTATACACAGTACACAAAATTTACTAATAGTTGTGGGAAATGCAACAATGTAGCTATAGCTAGATCAGTGCATACTACGAGTTTGAAACGCCGACATCCTTGGAGATCATGAACCAAAGGATTTGTTGTTTCTGTTTTGCTGTTGTGAGAGCAAACATGTTCTGAATCTGCAGCCGCAGTGAAGCTCCTGCCAAAACCTTCAGTAGACAAATCGGAACATATCAGTGAACACATTGGACAAAGACAGCCCCAAGTCAAAATAATCTGAGACAAAGTTAGACTGAAGCACGGCCAAAGAACCACAGAAAGATGCTTCGCCCCAATCACAAGAATCAACAACATCGCAGAACAGTGTTGGTCATTCTATCGCTTGCACACTAAGATTTTTGGGGCAATCATCTCAAGCACTTATGACATTGTTTCCACAGAACAATATCTTATGTCCATGAAATGCATCTCCTGTGTGAGTGAGATTTGCTTTCTTGCTTCCCTGCGCTAGTACGCGAAAAATTCGTTCCAGGGCTGCTGTGAGCTCCCTCACTTGTTTCAATGTCGAAACTATGCGGCGTTCTCGCCCGACAATACGTGGATGCCCGGTGGCAAATGGCGGATAATGGCGGCACAAGAGATGACTACTTGCCAGAGTTGCCTTGAATTGCTGAATGGGTTTTGAAAGGTTACAGTCATGGGACTTTATGTTTATATTAAAAACAATATATACTGTACCATGGCAAAAAAAAACATCAAACACATCTACATATTGTCTACATATTGTCTACATACATACATACATACATACATACATACACACATACATGCACATGCACATGCACATGCACATGCACATATACATATACATATACATATACATATACATATACATATACATATACATATACATACATACACATACACATGCACATACACATATACATATACACATACACGTACACATACGCATGCACATGCACATGCACATACACATACACATACATATATATATATATACATACATATACATATACATATACATACATACATACAGACAGACAGACAGACAGACATACAGACATACAGACATACAGACATACAGACATACAGACATACAGACATACAGACATACAGACAGACAGACACACACACACACATACACACACATACATACATACATACATACATACATACATACATACATACATACAGACAGACAGACAGACATACATACAGACAGACATACATACATACATACAGACAGACATACAGACAGACATACATACATACATACATACATAAAAATCGAAAAAACATTTTGTAGCAAAAAAAATGCCCATCGGAAGACAACATGTAAAAATCCAATTTCATTTTGTAGCAAGGGAAGTTGCCCTTCGGAAGGCAACATGTGAAAACCCAATCTCATTTTGTAGCAAAGCTGATGATAAAAACATATAAAAACCAATCTTCATTTTGTAGTGGTGGGGTGTCCCCTTCAATTAATTTGATGATAAAAACCAATCTTCATTTTGTAGTGGTGGAACTTCCCCTTCAAGTAACCTCATGAAGGAAACAAATCTTCATTTTGTAGCAGTATCACGTTGTCATTTTCCGTAATCCTGTGGAGGTTGAGAACCATCATTTTATAATGGCTGAGGTTAGGAACTTTGAGACTGTGGTACAAAATGAGGGTCTCGACCCCCTAGGTGAAATTCAAACCGGGATATATATATATATGTATATTTACATCATATGTAATTATATATATGTTGGTTTTCAGCACATTATACATATACACTGGTAATTATGTGTGTGTTTGCGATATATTCTGAAGAGGAAACCAACGCATCCTATCACTGTGCAAACATGCATACTTATGGATTGAGGCCGCTTCGCCAGTTGCTAGCGTTGCTCAAACTTCTGTCTGACCCAGATGCCACGTCCCCACATGCTGATAAAAAAATAGCATGGTATAGTTTCGCACATCATGTTTGATCAGCCTATCCCGGCATCCTCCCCAAGGACTTCTTGTCTGGTGCTCCCAGACTGATTCTTTTGCTTGCCATCACTGTTTGTGGGCTTTGTGCCTTGCTCAGATTTGAATAGGTGGCATGATGCTGTGTGTGCTTTGGCAAATCTCCAAGTGTCGTTTTTCTTTGCTTGTCTAGAGGTGCGGAAGACAATGGGGATAGTTTTCACGTGTTTTTTGGAGGCGTATTTTCACAAAGGCGTTCTTCATGCATGGTTTCAAGCTACAGGCGATCATTTGCAGGGATTCAAGATGATCCAAGTATCCACCGGCTCACCCAGTCTTTTGAGGCATCCCTTCTGCCTCGAGGTTTCTTAGCTCTACCCAGAATGTGCCTTGGAGAAGAGACTGCCTTGCAGTGAACCATCCTGGCATAGACTCCGGATTACTCCGGGTATACACAATTTTGAAATGTTGTTAGCATGTTTAGGAACGGAATTAATGCCTCCCTTGTCCAATTGGTTTTCCTCAATTTGCTGAGGTCTACAGTGAGATTGCAGGTTCCAGATCAGCGGTGGCAAGGGAAAAGATGAAAGAGTATTTTGGACATCTACCGCCAGAAAGCACTTGGCCTGCAAGGAACTGAATGAAGCTATTGGGCGGTTGTGCACCTATTGCTAACCAGTTCTGATTGTGAGGCCACAGGTCCAAGTCTAAGTCACTCCACTGAAAAAATCACTCACCCCAGCTGGCCCTGCATTCATGAGTAACACTTTGAAGATGTTGGCCCACGCCCACTTCATCACAGTGTTGGGGACAAGACGAGATGATGACATACCATCTTTTCGAGGTTACGTATGTGCAAGTACCACCACTCCCGCACCACTTAGCAGTAGAAGGCGTTATCAAGCACAGTTTATATAGGGAGAGGTATGATATCAAAAGCAACCAAGCTTAGAACTTGAATTCCCAAAGCCCCTTTCCTACAACTTGTGTTTGATGCCCCTGATGAGGTGATCTTATCCTTGTACAGCAGCAGCGTGAGGCAAGGACATCTCTTCAGACTCTTCTTCTAGACTTTGATGTTGCTTTGTATCTGGCTGGGTGCTGGATGCGTAGTGATGAATCAATTGGTAGATGCCTTTACCTGTCCTTCCCCTCTCCTTTGTAAACTGGATCCATGGAGAGCCCCGAACTGAGCAGAGATTTCGAGGAGGCCTTTGCCCCTTCACCAAATCTGGTAAGTTCGGGCTTGCTGGTGGAGATTTCTACAATGACTCAGCCCCTTGCCAGAGGTCGGTGCCAAAGGTGAAGGTTTGAATTTGAGCCTTCAGCGCTGCATTGTGTTATTATTGCGTCATTCGACGTATATAATATATATATATATAACTCTATTTATATATATATACACAATTATATACATAATTTGTTCGAGACAAACTGATCTAAAGTGCCCATTGAGTCGCCATTGATCATTGCGTGGTGAGATGCTGACAGAAGATGACTTTGGCACATCTTCAAGATTGTACGTTTCCTGCAGCTGCAAGTTTCACGGGAAGGGCCAGGATCATTCTGCTGGACCGAGGGATTTCCTTCAAAGTCGCGGATTTTCTGACATCGCCCCTGGATTGCACATCTCGTACCGGAAGAGAACACTAAATAATACTAAATCAACATGTCCCATGGAGGTGGCACCCAGGAAGTTGACACAAAATAAGCAGTGGCTGACATTCTGATACATTCTGCCCAGCAGACGGAATTTACATGAATTTACCCTTTGGTAATCGAACAAGGGATCCCTTGGCCCAGTTGATGAGGAAGTGGACAGCTACCCAGTCTTCCAGGAGCAGGCTTAGAGCAGCACCCCTGTTCCCATGCAATCCCCATGATCAGCAGTTGCGTGCTCATGGCATCACATGTATTGCTAGGACTCACGGAGCCAAAAAACAGTTGCTGCCAGGCAACAGTTTCCCATATGCTAATATAGAATGTTCACTAACGTTGGATATGATTCTTGAGGGCAATGTATGTTTATGTATAGGTTTGTTTATATTAATGTATGTCAATGTATGTTGATGCATGTTGATGTCGGCAGATCATACATGGAACACACGGGTTGCAGCGGGTTGCAGCGGGTTGCAGCGGGTTGCGCCAGGGCTTTCCGCACATTGCCTCACAGCTGGTGTCCGAAGACCTGTGCCTCAGCAGCAGTCCGGGTAGCTGTGCGCGTGAGTGCAGTTTTGCTGCACCAGGTGCCACAGCCAAATCATTTGTAATCAACTATACTCTAAATTACAATTTGATATGTTATATATAGTAATTTTGCCATAGTTATGTGTGTTAATTGATTTATATGTTTGGTGTTAACTTATATTTATATGATTTATCCCTGATATATAATAATATGATGATCCTTATTTCAAATTCATCCTTAATTTGCTTACGTCGGAAGGCTGCAATTAACCGGTGCAAGAAATATCAAATGGTCAGACCAAATAGGAGCTGCCTGGAATGCTATCACTCTTAAACATGCACTCAAATGCAAGCTGCTGGTGCTATTCGCGCTCCTTGTACAACTTAGTGAAACTAACACAAACTAACTACTGTATGATTCAATACTTTTTTTACCCCCTGTAAAAGTCTGTGGAGCTGAAATGCCACATTTTGTCTGGGTCAACTTTCAAATCCAGACCAGATGTCATGGCCAGCAACATTTTGGTGAACCCGTTTTTGACCCGGAGCTGTTTGAGCATCACATCATAACTGGCAGATTGTTGGAACATTAGATATATTAGATTCGCTATCGAACTGGCTTTGGGCTTCTTGAACAATAACCTGTCCGAGCCATCTTAATCTTAGTCTTTGTTGGTATTTTCGCCCATCCTGTCCTTCATTATTTTCATTTCGCAGTTTGGATCTCTGGCACCCTTGTGCCTTCAGGCGCTCCGCGCTTCTAGTGCTTCGGCGGATCGGCGTGCCCATCAACAAGACAGTTGGGAGACCTGAAACGATCAAGATGGCTTTGATCCACTGTCATGCGTATGATGCATGGTCATGTTGAACGGCCTGCTGTGGTGACTGTAGTGCGGGGTACAGGAAGTGGTTCAGCATTGATATGTGCCAAGCATTTCAGCCGCCGCCGCAGGTGGGGGCTTTAGAGTCTGATCTCATTCTGGAGCTCAGCTCCTTTGCAGAAATGTGTTCTGCTATGTTCTGCTGAATCTTTCTAGATGGCAGATTATACCTGCATCAGCTCGGTGAAGCTTGCAACTTACTTTTCAACGGAAAGTATGATCCACACTGAGGACGACGCTATTTGGATGTTAGCTCCATGGCTGCAGTGAAAAGTGAGGGCATGTGCGAGATGATGATAAGTGCTGCATATGCTTGCTCCTCAGGTGACTCTTCCTTGGCTTACATTGGCGTGGCGGGTATCGCACCGTTTGTTGCTGCTTGAACTATACAGTCTGGACAGATCTGGACGGACCTGGATGGATCTACATTCTATATCTAGGTGTTTTTCATGTGCTTCCTTTGCCCTAGGGATTTGAATCCGGAAGTGGGCAAGTGCTTGCCATTGCTTTTCCGAGGTTGATGGGTCCAGATCGGCGGCAAAGGACCTGGCGAGGAGCAATCCCATTTGTATCCCACTATGTTGCTTGGCTTGCTTGGCTTTTGCTGGCTTCCTGCATAGGAGATGATATTCTGATAATGCTTTGATATTGACAATATTGAATATATTGACCTGGCAGCGAGATGCCCCAAACATCCTCAAACCAGTTCTGCCCTGGGTGAAGGCGTGCCGCCAGTTTGCAAGAACTCTTGAAGCAAGAAGTCTAGTTTTTAGCGATGATTTCAACCCCCAAATGTACATCTTTACGGTGCATGCTTGGGTACAGATTTCTGATTGGCATTTTGAGGCCAAAGTTCAGTGTGTCTCCAGTTCCCAGCATATTCTAGTTGCCTCCAATTTTGTGTGACATGAGTGTAGTCCACTTAAGTGCCGTTGTTCCATTTTCAAGGCTTCATGGTGCTGGCTTTCGTCGTGCCATGATTGCATCATGGGCGGTGGCAGTAGAGAATGGGCGCAAGTTCTTTCTGACAGCCGCAAAATCTGCAAATGCAGCAGCTTCATGAAGGCTTCATGTTGCATAGTCATAGTCATAGTATTATTAGTATTCATATTGGTTCAATCAAGCTGCCAATTCCACGGGTCAGGTGCAATCATGGCGGTTGATGCTGCCACTTGGAAGATCTCGGATGTATTTCTTTGGAAACATTGAGCACTTGCAACACCCGAATTCGCTGTTGTAATCAAAAAAGCTTCTAGGATTGAGGCAAAGACTTGTCTTAAGATGTCATTGCCAGCCACATTATCACGTCAAACTCCGAGTGAGTCCAGCGTGCATCCACCTGATGCAGCGTATTGCAGCGTTTTAGAACTTCTCAGCAGGGACTTTGCACCACCTCGTGTTTGCAAAGAGGACCAAGAGATAAGATATTAATCGAAACTATATTATATAATTATATAATTATAATTAATTATAATTATATATATATATACGAATTTGTAAGATGAGGAAGTTCTAATAGCAGATATTGAATAGGCTGATTCCGAATTCAGTGATTGGCGTGCCAAGGATAACTCTTCTTTGTATGATTTGCGCCAACACAGTTTGCTTCGCCTGCTTGTCCTGGATGGCTGATTCGGGCGTGGTCATGTCTACTAGCGGCTTGGGCTGTGCTGGCGTGCTGGCACATGTGCATTCCACACCAGGTGTCATGCCCATTTTTGCACCAAAAAAAGGAAGCACCGTGGAGTTCGCAGAGTCTTTTCATAAACTTTTCCATTGATCATCCGTTCCATTCCGTCAAGCAAGACTCCTCAAGATGCTCGAGGTTGTGAGGGTGGGTGTCCAGCGGCAATCGTGAGTCGTATTTAGTTGCATTCCAGTAGGGCCTAGGCGGCCTAGGGTCACAGCCTGAGGTGTACCTATCATGGGGGAGTCCTGTCTCATGGCGTTGACCTTTGATTATTCGTTGTTTTTGCTCGTGCGCCGCTCGGCTTCAGCAGGCTCATTGTTTCTGCAATCTGTTTGGCATGGAATGCCATGCTTGGAGAAAGAAGCTCAAAGTTCCACTAGACTATGTATCATTATGTTTATTAATGTTTATTAATTATGTATAATTATGTTCTATATATGAGTGACTGGAGCAGTTTCCAAGGTCCCAAGTCAATGGAGATGGGTAGCAACGCTTTTGTCAAATGCGTCACCGAGCCAAACCCCATTCATTCACCAAGGATTTCAAGAGGAGATTGCCATTGGAATGACTCACCAAGGAGCTGTGACAGTCCCCCAGTTGCACAGGCAGTGTTGATTTTCTCCTGCTAGAGCGCACCAAGTCCAATGAGTCTACTGACGTGCTGCTTTCCCAAGTGATTAGATCCAATCGGTCTGGACTCTGGACTCCTGCACCTCTTGATGACTTCTTGATGCACTATCTCTTCTCCGATGTTTCGCACTTGATGCGCTTGGCCCTCGGCCAGCCAGTAACGACCATTTCAAATGCGTTCAATAAGCTCATTTTTCCCTGTAATCTGTGCCCAGGTTTGCATATCTGCATCATAAGGATCAAGACACCTAACATGTGTTTGTATATATATATATATATGCTGTATGTGTGTATAAATATATATATATGTATTTGAGGGCCACAGTAATATATTTATATATATATAATTATATATATTGAAACAGGATCGTATAGGAATGCATTTGCCCCCAGTAGGCACGGACCTATTGACCTATTGCAGTATGGGTGCAGTGTTATCTTTGAAACCAAATTGGCTTGAAGCACATTGATTTGAGGGTTTGAGTCTCTTCAGGTCCGTTTTGGCCACTTGATCTCGATGTCCTTTCCCTTCCTCCCCTTTCCTTTCTGCATTTCTTATTTTTGAGCTGATGCTGCCAAGCAGGGCTTCCTACACAGCCTTGGTAGAAACTTTCACGTAAAGGGGCAGGGACCCCCACTCCCCACTCACGGGCTGGATTATCCCCCCCCCCGGTCTCTGAACTTTGGCCTCACATGATATTGGCATTATATAGGCGCATTCTTTCCTCACCAAGCCCTCGTAGGTATCCATACTTGGTATTGTATATACTGTACATCAGCAAAGCCTCCCTACCGCAGCACAACAGATACTTTCCTGTCCGACCGCACGTTTCCAGGCAAAAGCATTCCTGCGCCTGAAAACTGTTTTACCGGACGAAAAGCAACAGGATGATGAGGATGCGCACATCATCTTATCCTATTGTTTTTTACCAGTAGTACCGCACAAGGCGGTGGCGGAAGTTTCAGAATAGGAAACCTATAGGAGACGTTGGTTGTTGTGAATCACGGATGGCAGAGCGAACCCACTGATTGACCGAAAGGTGGTTGGAGTTGTGTTTGCTGGAGTGGTTGCAATGGTTGCAGTGGTCACCTCACCCACAACTGCTGGATGTAGTGTGATGTACTGCAACTGTAGTTGTAGTTGTAGCGTAGTGGAGTTGTAGTTGTGGTGTAATGTAATTAGTGTAGTGTAGTTGCAGTCATATAGTTGTAGTTGTAGTTGTTTTGTAGTTGTAGTTGTAGTTGTTGTAGTTGTTGTAGTAGTTGTTGTAGTTGTAGCTGTAGTTGCTGTGTGGTTGTAGTTGTTGTGTAGTGTAGTTGTAGTAGTAGTAGTAGTAGTTGTTGTTGTTGTAGTAGTTGTAGTAGTTGTAGTTGTAGTTGTTGTTGTTGTTGTTGTTGTTGTTGTTGTTGCTGTTTGTTGTTGTTGCTGTTGTTGTTGTAGTTGTTGTAGTTGTAGTTCTAGTTGTAGTTGTAGTTGTTGTGTAGTTGTTGTTTTTGTAGTTGTTGTGGTTGGTGTTGTTGTTGTTGTTGTTGCTGTTGCTGTTGTTGTTGCTGTTGCTGTTGCTGTTGTCGTCGAAGTTAGGGTAGCTAAGTTAGTGAAGTTAGTTAAGTTATGTTAAGTTAGTCAAGTTAGTTAAGTTAATCAGTGTCTACTTTTTCGACATCTTCACGTCAAAAAAAGGCTCAAAACCCTCAGTTTTTTTACACTTTTGACTTCGAAATGTGCTTCGCGCCACAACGGCGTGCACTTTTTCGACACTTTTTCTACATCTCAACTTCCAAAAGTGGTCCGAGACCGCCAGTTTTTAACACTTTTGACTTGGAAATGTGCTTCGCGCCACAACGGCGTGCACTTTTTCGACGTCTCAACTTCCAAAAGTGGTCCGAAGCTGAGGTGTTTTGTACATTTTGACTTGGAAATGTGCTTCGCGCCACAACGGCGTGCACTTTTTCGACATCTCAACTTCCAAAAGTGGTCCGACGCTGGAGTTTTGTACATTTTGACTTCAAAATGTGCTTCGCGCCACAACGGCGTGCACTTTTTCGACATCGCAACTTCCAAAAGTGGTCCGACGCTGGTGTGTTTTGTACATTTTGACTTCAAAATGTGCTTCGCGCCACAACGGCGTGCAATTTTTCATCTCTCATCTGGCCAGCTGCCTCCGCACCCGCCGCTTTAGCGAGCCTACTTTTCGAGCCTCCGGAGCCCCAAATCATTGGAAAAACACATTGTTTCGCGACTTTCCTACCTTTTCGCGCATCTGCATCTTCTTTCTTCTGACTCTTTCTCTTCTACTCTTCTCTCTTCCAATCTTTCTCTTCTCTCTGCCTCTGCCCTGCTCTGCTTTTCATCTGTCCATATTGTCGGAAGTTTGACTTCTAAACTTCCTTCGATCATTTTTATCTCCTCTCAACCCATCAACATTGGCCCTTGATTCAAGCTCCCCTGCTAGCTTTCGTCACCTACCCCTGGCCCCAAGTGTTCTATTTCCTAGTGCCCAGTGTTGTGCTTGTGTCATCCGATGATCACAAGTGAAGCTTTGGTGGAAATCTGGAAATCTGAATCGTCCAGCTGATTGGATGTCAGACCTCCAAAACCATGTCCTTCACTGGTTGACCTTTCAGGCATCGGTGCGTCGCAGTGGCCATGCCTCTTGGCACAATAAACGCCTGCTTGATGTGTCACAGTTGGCAAGGAACAGCATAACACCAATTGTCAAAATATATCAAAATGGTGTTGCATTGTTAAAGTGGATATTTCAGGTGCGTGTATCATTTTTATATATATATACTCACATACATACATACATACATACATACATACATACATACATACATACATACATATATTTATATATCATATATCATTATATCATTGTTTTTATATCCATGTGTTTCCTCGCCCATTTGAGGTGATTTTGGCCTCTGGCTTTACCCTTTGCTATTGCGCCATGGCGGTGCAACAACTGCCGTTGCAGGAATCCTTCAGCCTCAGCATAGGCGCCACGGTTTTATTTTAATGATATGAGGGCCATGATACTGTGCATATTCTGAGGATATCATGATATACTGTGTAAGTTTGTGAAATAAACAAGGAGGGCTATTTTTTTGAGTGATGTTTTTTTTTGGGGGGTTTTGTTTTCCAGCCTGGCTTTGTGGCTTTTGTGGCTTTACCATGCTTTACCTATCTATCTATCTATATAATCTATATAACCTAATCTAATCTAGTCTAATTTTATCTAATAATCTAATCTATCAAATCTATGTGTCCAATCTATCTAATCTATCTAATCTAATCTAAATCTAGTCTAATCTTATCTAATCTCACTTCATCTAATCTACTCTACCTATCTAATCTATCTAATCTATCTAATCGATCTAATCTATCTAATCTATCTAATCTATCTAATCTATCTAGTCTATCTAATCTATCTAGTCTATCTAATCTATCTAATCTATCTCATCTATCTACCTATCTATCTATCGATCTATCTATCTATCTATCTGTCTGTCTGTCTATCTATCTCTCTATCTATCTATCTATCTATCTATCTCTCTATCTATCTATCTATCTACCTATCTATCTATCTATCTATCTATCTATCTATCTATCTACATGTACCTTAATCCAACCCTCAGCAGACTTTAAATAGACCTAAATAGCCGCAAATAACCCTAAATAAACCCTAAACCAACCCGACATAAGTAACCCTAAACAAACCCTAAACTAAATAGCCCTAAACCAACCCTAAATAAACCCTAAACCAACTTGAAATAACCCCCAAACCAACCCTAAATAAACCCTAAGCCAACCCTAAATAAACCCTAAACCAACCCTAAAGCAACTTTAAACCAACCCTAAACCAACTTTAAATAAACCCTAAACCAGCCCTAAATAATCCCTAAACCAACCCTAAACCAACCCTAAATAAACCCTAAACCAAGCCTAAATAAACCCTAAATAAACCCTAAACCAACCCCTAAATAAACCCTAAACTAACAAACCTAAACCAGACCTAAATGACCCTAAACCAACCATAAACTAACCCTAAATAATCCTAAATAAACCCTAAACCAACTTTAAATAAACCCTAAACCATCCCTAAATAAACCCTAAACCAACCCTAAACCAACCCTAAGTAAACCCTAAACCAACCCTAAATAAACCCTAAACTAACCCTAAATAAACCCTAAACCAACCCACCTAAACCAGACCTAAATGACTCTAAACCAACCATAAACCAACCCAAAATAACCCTAAATAAACCCTAAACCAACTTTAAATAAACTCTAAACCAACCCTAAATAACCCTAAATAACTCCAAATAACCCTAAATAAACCTTAAACCAAGCCTAAATACACCTTAAATAAACCTTTAACCAACCCTAAAGAAACCCTAACCCAACCCGACATAACTAACCCTAAACAAACCCTAAACTAAATAACCCTAAACCAGCCCTAAATAAACCCTAAACCAACCCTAAATAAACCCTAAACCAACCCTAAACCAACCCTAAATAAACCCTAAACCAACCCTAAATAAACCATAAACCAACCCTAAATAACCCTAAATAAACCCTAAACCAATTTTAAATAAACCCTAAACCATCCCGAAATAAACCCTAAACCAACCCTAAACCAACCCTAAGTAAACCCTAAACCAACCCTAAATAAACCCTAAACTAACCCTACATGAGCCCTTAACCATCCCTAAATAATTCTGGATAAACCTGAAGCCACCACTAAATAAACCTTAAACCAACCGTAAACCAACCCTAAATAAACCCTAAACCAACCCTTTACCAATCCTAAATGACCCTAAACCAACCCCAAATAAACCCTAAACCAACCAACACTTTGATAGCATCCAAAACCACTATTCAGACCCAACACGGTTGTGCTTCAACCTATATTCTACATGTTCACCAGGTGCGTGTTATGCATGGAAAAATCGATTGAAACCATGGAAAAATCAATTGAACCCATGGCAAACTCAATGACAACTATGGAAAACTCGATGACAATTTTGGGTAAATCAATGAACACCATGGAAAAATCGATGAACAGTGCAAATGGCAAATTTTAGCTTCAAAATTCAGCAAAGTACATGTTTTTGCTCTAAAATAGAGCAAATAGCAAGGAAAAGTGCCCCAGACTGAAAAAACAAAAAAAAACTGCACCCAAAAAATACTATATATATATATATTATTCATGTCTGAACAGTATTTGTTTATAAATGAATGTGGGAATCCCAATAATACATCTACCAGTTGGAGATGGTTTATATATGTTTATATAATATAGCACCCGTAAAAATGGTGGTTTGGGGGATGGTTTATTGGGTTTCAAGGTGTACCACATTATATAACATTTTCATGGGGTTTTGAGATGAATCGATTATACATCCACTAGTTTATGGGGATATAATGGGTACATGAATTATACACTGGTGACACAGATGGGATGTAGTGGCAGAAAAAAACAGCTTATACAAATAATTAACGAGTGAATTTAGGGGTCCCCGACGATTAACGAGTGAATTTAGGGGTCCCCTATTTTCAGACAAACTCATATGGCCTACATGGCCAATGTCTGGGCAGGGCCATACAGATCATGTAGGACCTGCTCTTTAGGAGTGTCACCAGAAACTTCACGTCGTGTTGTCATGTTTTTGGACGTTTTTGGTACTTAGACAGAGCACGCATTTTCCTTGGAGGGATTTATAGCATGGCAGGCATCCTTGCCGCAATTCTGCCCCGACCTCGGCCAATTCAATGCGGTCCGTGCTTGTCAAGTCAATCGAATTGTGCGGAGTGGCCTTCAACTCTTGTCTGTAGAGGATGTTTCAGTCAGGTGTGCTATGGCGGTGAACCTGTTCATCACTCCGACTGTCCTCTTAGCATTTCCTGACTTTGTGGCCTCGGGAACAGAGCGCGCAGATGTGGTCATTCATGATGCTTGCCACTGGAGTCAGACTTTGATGGAAGCACTTGATATCCAGGGTCGATATAATTCGGTATACACAATGACAAGCAGATGTAGACATAAATCACTTCCAAGTCCATAATTACTGATGTGAAAACCAAGGAGAATGATTATGAAAAGTGCGGACCGATTGCAAATGGCAAGGAGAGGTTCTGAAAAGCTCGCAACAAATTCCTCTGAGAGGATGCATCATGAACCTTCCTGCCGGGGTCAGAAGCCTGACTCGTATCCCATGTCGATCCATGTCGTAGATCCTTGAGAAAAGGTTGCATTTGTGCGATGAATCAATTCCTCTGTAGGATCACGGTTTGCTGGGATCTGGAATTTATGCATGGAACAGGCTGGGCAACTGGGCCCTTGAGCATTTAGGGTGAGTTGTTTGGTTTGATGTTTTTAGACCGATTGTGAACCAGGTCAACAATACAATTATGCGATGCACAGTACATATACAAGGACGCAAATAAGATCGTAACAAGTACAATGTATAAGACAATATACGCAATTATGTTATATATATACACATGTATATGCATATATAGATAGGTGATGATAGATTCTGATAGATGTCCATAGGTAGAAACATATAGTGCATGCACCTATATATAATATAATTATGATATCCTGGTTGCAATTTCCTCTGCAGAATCAGGGGTGTTGACACCCCTAAAACCTTCGATTTTGTAGTGCCAGCCTGCACCCCTACTTTGTTACAAAATCAAGGACCATCAGCCGGCAAATATCCAAAAATCATAAATTTTGGGCTGCACCAATGTGTAGTGGGGGCCGATGAAAGCCCCGAGGTCGAGCAAAAAGTGCACAAAACCTTATATTTTGGGAAGGGGATTGATTTTGTAGAAAGAAGGCTGGCGACCTCCTAGGGTCTTTGATTTTGTAGTAAAAGCATGCTCCTGGGTGTCATATCCTCAGATCTTAATTTTGTAGTGGCGAGAGATGGTGAGAGGGGAGAACCTTGATTCTGTAAAGGATAGTTACAGTTCCCCTGAAACCCCTGTTGCCCAACATATATGGGTTTTTGTTTTTTGTAACGGGAAGTTAGATGTGGAATTCAGATTCTTGATTCTGTAGGACATTTGGGACATCTTGGACTGACTTGTGAAACTTGTTAACTCATGCTACAAAATCAAAGACAGACATTTGGGAAATCTTGGGCTGACTTGTGAAATTTGTAAACGCATTCATACTACAAAATCAAAGGCAGGCACTTTGGACTTGGGAGGGACTTGTAAAACTTGTAAACACATTCATTCTACAAAATCAAAGGCAGACATTTGGGAAATTGTGGACTGACTTGTGAAACTTGTAAACGCATTCATGCTACAAAATCAAAGACATGCACTTGGGACTTTGGAGGGAGTTATAAAACTTGTAAACACATTCATGCTACAAAATCAAAGGCAGGCACTTGGGACTTTGGAGGGACTTGTAAAACTTGTAAACACATTGACATTCATGCCACAAAATCAAAGGCAGGCACTTGGGACTTTGGAGGGGCTTGTAAAAGTTGTAAATTGTAAAAGTTGTAAACGCAGTCATGCTACAAAATCAAAGACCAAACATAAATCTCTACAGAATCGACTCCAAACCAAATCTTTACAGAATCGTTCTGGACGTTTGAGCTCAAGAAGTGATGATTTTTGAGGCATCTACAAGTTTTGATTCTGATTTTGTAGCACGTATGAATCTGCCTTGTCAGAACTTTCCACCGTGGAATGTTCCTGATCTTGTAGTATGTAAGACCCTACTCTGGAGAGCAGAGACTGATTTAGTAAAGAAATTCTAGGTACCTGACCTTGGGGGTCTCTACAGAATCAGGGGTCCCAGCACCCCGCTCCCAATTGCAAGGTTTGCTAGGGGGATACTATGAATTATGGTGTTATATTATATTATGTTGTATACAACATTTATTGTGTTAGAATATGAAGTTGACCTCATCCATATGAGTCTCCAACGAAATTCGTATTTCCTCCTAACTAGTACCATTGTTGTTTGCAAGAGAGGATTTGGTAGCAGAAATTGTGGGGCTGGCCAAAAGAGATTTAAAGATCCTATGGGGGACAGTCAGGGGAGTTCCTAAAGCCTGATCAAGGCAACAAGTTGCGTCTTACTGATGATTTGCTGTCTCCACCAGGGCTGCCGCGGTGCGGCATCAAAGCAGAGCTTTTAGCTACGATAGTTCGGCATCTTGGCAGAACTGTGGTTTCATCCTATGAATTCCACGAATTGGCCCACTTCCAAGCTCTCGAGTTTCACTGAATCCAAGGATGAAGGAGAGATCAGTTCCTCTGGATCCTCTGAAGACGATTTGGAGGTGGAAATTTGAAGCGACAAACTGTTGCATTGTTGCAATGCACTTGTCATGGGTGTCCAGGCCCGCAAGCTCTTAACTTCCATTATCCACTCTAATTGTTGTTGAATTGTTGGCCAGCTCAAATAGGCAATTTGCCAACTATGATAGCGTGCCTTTCTGAAGAGCAAAGGCCAATCTTGGAGTCTAACTCTAACTATTCGACAACCAGAACATGTTCAAGTTCGCATGTTCTATCCTAATAGTTGGTGTTTTTCGGACTTTTTCAGCAGATTCTTCCAATGTTCAACCGTGTTCAACCATGATGCAAATTCTCCAGGCAGGCTTTGGGTCGAAGCAAAGCTCCCGAAAGCTGCGGCAGATGGAAGTTCAGAAGCGGCGTTCACAGGCAGCGCAGCGTAATATCTCTGATTTCTGGAGGCTGGGCTCATTGAACTCGCTGCCAGGTTTGCAGCCACTTTTTTCCTTGTACTAAGAACATCTAAGAACATGCGAAGTACCAGATAGATCCAGATAGGACCAGTGATGTTGAGGAAGTCGAGCCAAATGCTTTCCACCTCCCAATCATGTCATCTCATGCCTCATTGCCTCATCATGCCTCATCATGCCTCATCATCCCTGAGGTGGTGGTCCCGTTTGTGCACTTCGCGTCCATGTTCAGTTTTGGTTCTGCTGCTGGTGATCGTGGTCTCCGTCCTGGCCTTCACAGGTCCTACAGCCATTCACTTGGATCGGAGCCAGGCACAAGTGCCGGGTTTCAGGTGCTATGAAGGGAAGCCCTGGCAACAAAAAGGTCTCCATTCTCATCTCTTGAATTTAGATTTGACACATATTGAAACTGAAAGGTATTTCGATTGAACATAGTCGACATGACAGTCCGAATAAGCCCCGTCAATGTATACTCGATCACAGCTTGGGCAGGGAGACCTGATGGCCATGTGGAGAGAGAGAGAGAGAGAGAGAGCGAGAGAGAGAGAGAGAAAACGGGGTGACATGGAGTGATGTTGTATGAGACGATATTCTCAACAGCAGATGACTCCGCTATACTCCGCTAGTATTACAGCAGAAGATATGCGTATGCCGTATGCTTTCATCATAAAGACTTGTTTTTGATTTTCTACTGCTTGTCCACGCCCCACGGTTTTACATGCAGTAGAGCTTTACAATTCTTGCATAGTCCAAAGTCTTCCATCAGCCCCATTTCCCCTTCAATCTGTATACGTCCATGAATGTGACTCTCAAGATCTCTCAAGCTTTCAGCGTTCCTGCTAGCTCTAGGCAACAGTGCGTATATTATCGTGTATATATATATATATTGATGTAATTAACTATCCATTTTGAGAGAGGTGGCCACCCAATCGCCCTAGGAACCAGGAATCCCAAACGGCCATTCTCCTGCGCACCAGCATATAATTCGACATATTCTGCCCACATATCAGTTTTGTCATTTTGCGGACGGGATTGAATAGCCGAGTTAACAACTACAATGATAGAACATGTGTTTACGCGTGACATGAGGGTTTTCTTGGAGTTTTGCTTCATGACAAATCATGACTCCGAACTGATTGTTTATTGTCAGCTGCAGGGCACTATGGACTTCGCCATGCTTGGTCCAGAAGACTCCCAAACGCTGGACATCCTGGTTGGGAATCAAAGCAGCTGTCAGTTTTTCTTACTGCCCTTTGAATTACCTGCTGCTAGCCGCCATTTGCGAAGCTGATTGTAGTACGGCCCTTCTGCAAAATGCATCAGTATCATCCGGAATCATCACTTGAGCCTGCTTGCACAATAGAAATCACTGGAAACGAACAGTTCTTATAGGAGAAGAAGACGAAGTTTCTCCAGCTTTTCTTTGATCCTTCTTCTGGATGGCAGCGAATGCTGATGAAATCTGATGAGTTCAAGGTTAAATTTATGTGTAATCTTACGATATCTTACCTAGGTATCATCCTCAATGAGCAATGCCCTCTTGAATTCCTGCGCATGCCATTCGACAACGTGGTGAACTGGCTGCCCGCGTAGTAGACCTGACATGACCTGACTATATATATATATACATTATATTATATATATAGAGTCAATATATATATATAGAGTCAATATATATATATATATATAATTAGTAAATCGCACAGTAAATCCCACAGTGGCAATGATTTTATCCTGCGGCATTGATCTTTTTGCAGGAGACTCTGAATCGAGTTGGCAAGGACCTGGGTCTACTGAACTTCAAGACTGGAATGTCATGTTTGTCGTAGAATTTCTCAATATGAATGTAGGCAATGTATGGCAATGTGCAAGATTTTTTGGCCTATCTAGCGCTTATCTATGGACGCAGGAATCACAATGACAGGGCACAATTTTGCTTTCTCACAGCCCTGGTTTGGAGATGTTTGGAAAGTGATCCTTTCTTTGCATCAGGTGTTCTTTGGCTCAGGGATTCCACCTGGACTTGAACAAGTCCAGTCAAGATGATGGCTGGGGAATCCGCTGCACTAGGCAGCGACTTTCAAGAAAGCCTGGATGCCGTCAGTGCCCTAACCACCTTCTATGGCTTCACTGCATTCTCGAGCGGTACCTTTCAAGCAGTGGTTGCCTTGTTTGGTATAGTTGCCGTTCTTTTGTTGAAGCAATGTCGATACTCTGGCCCACTGCGCAACCAGTCTGTTGCGTCCAGCATGGACTTTCATCAGAGTCTTGATGTTGCGTTCCAGAGTGCCTTGACCAAATTCGACAGCCTCTCTACTTACTTTGCTCGCGGAATGAACGTTCCAGCAGTGGCTGCCATGCTTCTTGAAGAGATTTGCCTTGATCAAGACTTCGCTCACTTTCTTCAGGATGATGACTCGATGAAGAAAGCGGATAGATTTGTGAAACAGAACGTTGGTCCTATGCATGCTGCCTGGAAGAAGGGGCAGATGAGAGACAAAGAGCCCAATCAAGCGACCACTGATCTACAGGGGACTTTGCTTCCTTGGCCAAGTATCGAGCCCTATCCGGATTGGGTGTGCGAAGAGATCAACAAATACTTGCAAGCAGATCAGAAGGATAAGGCATTTTGTCGAGCTGAGCTGGAAAAGACTTTGCTGACAACTCCCTTGTGGTCTGCGTCCATCAAGTATGATGGTACTTGCTTCGGCAAGATGGACACAGGGAAGTATGCTGGCCGTCGTCATGTAGTTGGTAATTGTAGCACCTACCAACAAACAAGCACCAGCGTTGCCAACAGCTGCGATGTGAAGGCATTGAAAGATCAGCTCTCTAGAATGCTCCACATCCCATTGGAAAGTGGATCAGTTTGCGTGTGGGGAGAACTCATGTGCAATCCGGGATACTATGACTATCGCTCTCGTGGCTTGGCCAATGCATGGCTTCCCTTTGGCGTAGTCCTTCAAGTGACAAACGTGGACACGGAGTCCCTCATGAAGCGCTTGCAGAAGGAAGATTTGGCTTTCAGTCAGGGAGAGGATGGGAAGTTCCGGCTCTTGATGTGCCCTTCTCTCAGGGGACTGCTGCAAGACGTGGCCAAGTGCCGTGTGGTGGAGACATTCGAAGGCAGAGTCACACATGCCCAGCTTGTCGCGCAAGGTGCCAAAGAATTGATGGAAGGCCGCAATGAAGGAGTCTTGGACACAGTTATGCCATGCGGCGCTTGAGTAGAGTTTCGTCATGGAAATTTATAGTGTGCTTCATACCAGCCGTCCGCGGGTGTTTGATGGATATTATTTTTTAGAGATTGATGGATATTGAATGAATTGAATGATATGGATACCGGATGATACTGGCCCGCCACAACCAGCTGAGCAAATGAGTTCAGGAGTGGTCTTGGCTTTCCGTCGGCACCAGGGAGATGGACGAGCATCGCTGCGCAAGTGGAAGAACTCTGCAGAGGGAGATGGCAACAGCAACTCGAAAATGTGATGGACATGAATGAAACAACTCCATAAAACATTGGAAAATGCTTTATTATTTACATACCACATAACATACATTAAATATATTGACATACTAGATTACTAATTATTATTATATATATACTGGGTACTGATGCAGGTGTGCCTTTGATCCTTTGTCGGAGTGGTGTCAACAGTTTTGATTCAACACCGGAGAGGTTGGAGAGTTAGAGTTTCATGCGCAAGCTGCTACAAAACAGTCAGTTTTGTTTGGCTGAATAATATTAAAATATATATTATTTTTTATTAAATTATGTTTGTGAGTTGGTGAGTTCGCAAGAATCAAGGAAAAAATCCATGTCAAAAAATATATCCAAATGAACATGCTCAAATACCAAGAGCCCAACCTGAGAAGCACCTAAGATTGTTTTTCTTCGTCGTTTTTTCTGACTTTTTTCTTTCCACCAATGGTGATTTTTCTTGCCCTTATTTCAGGTTTCTTGCTATCTCGCACTTTTTGATTGAACCTGTGACCAGCCGTTTGTTGAACACACCCTTTTTGATTTTATACATAGGTCTTGCTCCGCTTTTTCCGAGCCATAATTTTTGTTGTTGTTCATTTTGGGCCTGTTGATGCCTGTTGCAATTGATGTTGAAATATGTTGAAATGACTCTGTACAGCGTGTTTTCTGTGACGTGACACAGTCATTCCCATAAATGTAGAAGTAGCAGATGGCAGCAGTGTGCAACGTGCTTTTGTGGAAACCTTGGGGACCTCAGCGCTGGAGTTAACTTACTTGCTCCAAGACAAGCGCAAGCGCAAGCTAACATGTAGGAAATTTCAGGGGAACAGATTCCCCAATGTTTTCCTTTTTTTTTCCCGCACTATTTGGGCAAGTTGAGGCAAAAGGCATGCGCAAAGACTCCGGCAACTCAATGTGAGGGAACTCGTCAATGAGGGTAAATTGAATCCAGAAATCGCAAAGATGGTAGAGAAATTGATTGAAGTTGCTGAGTCTGAGACGAAAGTCAGCAAGATCGGAAGAAAGAAAGAACTGTCGAGGGCACAAAAGGCATAATGATTACCCTTTGTATCACATGTTTCTGAGGCATCGGGCATAAGGTGTACAGTGTACAGAATGCTTTGCCGGTCGAACGCCCGAAGAGTGAGCCAAAAATCAGGGGACTACTGACTACTGGAGTGCAGGAAACTTGCTTTTCGAAAGCCACAACCAGGCTATAGCACCTTGCATGCACCTTGCACCACAGCATGTGCATAGTCTGACATGGCTCCAAAGCAGTGTTCAACAAATCCGGAATTCTAAGCAACAACCTGCATTAGCGCAGATTGGCTGTGCACTTCGCAGGACTTTTCGGAAGGCATAATGGGGCCAACTACTCTTATGTTTGTGGCGAGTTCTCCCGGAGCCCCTCGGTGAGGCTGTTTCTTTGTGTCTTTTGGGCATTTTGATTGAGTGAAATTCTGGGTTCCAAGAAAGATAAGAAAGTGATAGAAAGTGTATATGCAGGAACTTGCACACAGGAGCTTGCAGGCAGGAGCTACCGTAGTATATGTAGTTCCTCGCCTCCAATGCATTCCTTACAACATCTTACAACTCCCTGCAGTCAGTCGCGAATATAAGGCCAGTATTCTCCAGCCTGCGGTGTGGGACAGCATGAGCCAAGTCTGCAAAGTTATTGTTTACAATTTTTTTTGCCTTTTTGCATGATTGTTTTCTGGATTGCCTTAGTTGAGTCAGTGATCAGCTTGATTTCCATTGGGTATATACATATATCTTTATATATATATAGAGAGAGAGAGAGCTGGGCATTCCTCAGGACATCGATGCTCAAGTTCATTCATGATAGCATGCTAAGCAATGGTGAGAGCCTCAGCAATGGTGAGAGCCTCACTTTGCATGTTGCAAACACGGAAGCTGCTTCTCCAGATCAACATGACTCGGCATGACTGTCGCCCACAGAATGACATCACCGTGTTGATGTCAGTCTCATCAATCCTCTTTGATCCTCTCTGCCCTCTCTCAATCTCCAGGTGCTTTGGGATCCATAGGATCACCGATGTACTTGAGCAGTTGGACTCTTAGAAGAACCCATGTGGGGCACCTGGATCATGTACTTAATTATAATGTGATATTCGTGTGATCGACTATGTTTGTTTCCTTACCTCAACCTTTGTCGTATTTTGTCGTGTTTGAACGTAGGTGTCCATCGGTGGCAAGATTCCTTTGTAGTTGCTTTTAGTTGAGTGTTTATGAACAAATAAGGCAGGAGCAACGTGTCAAATGTGCAGATCACAGATTGGAACTCCTTCAACTACGACATAAATTGCCCAGCCTGGAAATACTTTTACTTGAAGTTACACAGTGAACATGACCCATGATGACCCATGATGACCCTATGTTAGCATATGTTCTCCATGCGCTCCCGTGTGGCAAAATGCCTGGAAGGGGCAGCGTTTCAGGTCCTGAGAAGATGGTAGAAGTGAAAGTGGACCAAGCCTTGATGGCAGAACGCACCTCACCGGGCCCTACAACCCCGACACAGCTGAAGGAGTGACCAAGGAATTGATGTTTGCATCAGAGATATTCAGGGCCATAACATTTACTGTAGATTAGTTTATTATATATATATATATTAGTTATAAATAAATAAATATATAAATAAATAAAAAAATGTACAATAATGTACATATATCATTGATTTTGATAGTATTGAATAGCATGCAATATCATTTATATAATTAATACAGATGATTTGGGTCGATTCAGGTGATGCTTTTTGTTGCTGAATGTTGATCAGGAGCTCAAATACACCATGGGTCAAATGCTGAATGCCCAAAGAACGGCAGCTTTGGCCCTGGTGACACCAAATCTCAGTTGCTTGTATCAACTGGAGTCAAGGCATTTAATTGGTTGAACATGGTTGAACTGCGACGGGGTTGTATGCAACAGAATATGGGCATCACGGGCATGGTGGCTTGTGGCAAGTGTTGATCCATGGGTATCTATGGAAATTCAATGGAACATGCTTTGTAATGTTGAACACGCACCCATATTATAACACATGCATTTATGTGATCTTGCGTGCTGCTTCTCAACAAGCCAGACCACGGTCCAAACATAAAGGTTAGACTTGAATCGGCTCTCTCGACCGGGAAATGTGAGTGGAAAACGCTTCCAGATCATTTCAGATCCTGCATTACGTTGCATTCCGTTTTTCACCAGCGCTTGAGTTTGCTGGTGATGAGCTTCCGTCCTGCCCACATTGCAGGGGCGGGTCTGTAGCCCAAGGATTGACCTCTCCAGAAGCAACCAAGTGGACAAGGCCGGTCTTCGGATCCTTGGGAGAACGAAGCCTTGGCAAAGCTCAACAAAAAAAAAAAAACATAAAAAATCCACTGTCCCTCTAGGAAGTTGATGGTGCAGCATGTCAGCGAAGCCAAGAAACTGAAAGAATATATTATAGCCATCCCTCAGAACCCACGGTGAGCGAGTAGCCGGCATGAGAGCGAAGACAGGACGTGTGACCACCTTTCAGATCATTAGACCATGCCTTGACAACTGTCGGATCAAGATAAGAACTTGCGCAGGGAGCTGCAATCTGCTATAAATGTCCAGCACCTTGCATGCATTTTTCTGCTAAGCTGGAAAGGGCTCCTGACATAAGAGCATGTAGATGATAATGATGGGTTCGGTTCCTGTTATGCCTTGCAGTGATCATGTTCACCTGTAAAAAGAGTTTATTCCGGATAGTGGTGAAACACACAAAGCCTTACAGTTTGCCGATGTTTGTCAATGTCAAGGAATGCCAGAGCTGACACACCAGTGCACATTTACATGGTGTCGCAGAATATGCAGATGCTGGATGTGGAAGAAGGCCAGGTTGTGCCTTCTGCCGGCCTTTTGCTTTTTACTTGAGCCTCAATAGGACGAGTATTGTTTTATTTGTATTTCCAGGAGGCATTCACGTCCATTGATGATATAATATAATATAATATAATATAATATATTCATTGCACTTGCTGCAAGTGGCGATGGACGAGGGAAAAATAATGGCATGTACCTGCAAGCAAGAAAAAACCATGATGATATGACAGAATAATTTCCAGAGCAAGACCACGGGATATTGGAATATAAATTCCCTCTCCCTTAAGGGCAGAAGAGACCACCCCAACAATATTCAGGCTAAGGAAGTAGCACATGATGGACCATGATGGACCATGATGGACCATGATGGACCATGATGGTACATGGACTCTTCAGTGGCATTGGTGCTGTCAAAATTCTGGTTCACATTCCGAATTGTTGTTCATGCGTGGAGGTGTTTTTGGCCGTGTGCCCAATCTCATTATCTTCAGTCTAGTGGGCTGCCTCGTGATGATCGGTTTGATCTTTAAATCCGTCTCTTGGTGGAGAGCCCTGCTAGCTGTGCCGCTGCTTGTTTGGTCGGATGTTTAGCCGTTTGCACATGTGGTTGCCATTGATGAAGCTAACTTTTCGGGCTTGAAACCACTACAGTATATTACAGTATATTTCCTGATGTTACAATATTTCATTTTTCTGGCAGCATGATGCATGGTATGGTGTGCAAGGGAGAGGTGGTTTTGATCATTATTAAATGCTAAATGCTCTTGCATTTGCCACGAGATGCCACCAGAATCTCTTAGAGATTTAGTGTTTATGGATTGGTTTGGCGAAAACTGGTGCCTCAATCTGACAGTTGGGGAATTGCAGTTGAAATATCTCAAACAATATGGTACTATTTGATACTATTTGACGCTTTCATTCAAGTATGCTCAATTGGCTACACATGAATCTCAGTAAAGGCAGGTAGTACTTGTTGCTGGTGGAACATGGTGGAACATGGTGGAACATGGTGGAACATGGTGGAACATGGTGGAACTGAAGGGGGTTCTCCGAGATTTACTTGACCAGATTTGCTGGATCTCAGCTATTCTCAGTTGTTGTTTGTAGATTTTCCATTTTGACTTGAAAGACACGCTATGACTTAATGACTTACCGTACTCCTCTTCTACCGAGGTAATGATTGCCGTCAGAGGCCTGGTGACCATTGTCTTTACACTGGTTCCTTGGCTGCATCACACACTTCGTCCTTGTTTTGATGGCTTGTGAATCGACATCATAGTCATCATACACGGCGAGTTCTCGTAATGTTGCGGCCATTTTCTATCCTGTGCCTTAATAGCCTTAATTGGAACTTGTAGTTGGATGACACCAGATAATTCAGATATCCAGTGATACTACTGCAGCATATCCGACCGGATGAGATTAACTCACATGTTTAGAGATTTCCAGCTGATAGTTTCTTACCACCCAAGCATCAGCCAGCTAGCCTAAGTACAGCTTTCTCTGAGGCGGTCGTTTATATGGCACGGGGCACCCAGCATACGAGACCTCTATCAGACACAAACAGAACCGCGGATGATTGGACGATTGGACATGAAAGGATTTGCTGGCCTTTGACGGACAGCGGTGTCAAATACGTTTGCAACAACTTAGATCGATGGAGGATGTCATTGTCAGACGTAGATCTCAGTGAACTGTAGACTTTAGATGGTGCTGGAGACAGAGCGGGAGAGGTCTGACATGAATGGACAACTGCCGGTGCCGGGGAACTGCCGGTGCCGGGGTAGTTTCATACCACCATGAGAGGTGAATAATGATCATCAAGTTTTTTCAGTGGGTGCCCTTTGCTCATTCATTTGAGTTAGGCTGACATGCTTCAGTACTGTTTTTTTGAGTCAGAAAGCTTGCTCCCTGTATTACGTGTCTGCAATATTCTGCAATTTGGGTAGGGTTGCTGCAGATCCGTCAGGAAGAGGTAGGAAAAAGATGGGACAAGTATAATATATATATATTATATACATATATTTATTTCGCTTGCGCATTCTTCTTCAGTCTTCAAGTTGCCACCATGGAGCCTTCTCCGCCTGCAAAGGCTGCGCATGGCATTTTCCAATTCGGATGGTTACGAGCCATTGGCATCCCCGTTGGTGGAACAGAAGGACAGGACATGACAGGACATTTTTAGTGGAGTCAGATTTGAGTTCAGTGATGTTCAGTGACATCAGTCGAATCAGTGACTGTCACAGCAGCATTGCTTGCTCTTGTGAGGACTCTTTTTTATGGCCTGGCACCCAGCTGGTGGACTTTCCGGCTTCGGAAGCCATTGATCCCATCGATTTCCGCGGGTGTATCCGAGGTGCCCGTGACAACTTTTACCATTGTGCCCTGACAGCAAGCCAGAGAGTCAATCAGGGTTCTCCAAAAAGTTTCCAGTGCATAATGTATTGTATGACGCTATATTGTAATTTAACTGAACTATATGACCATATGCATGTTAAAATACTATACTATATTATATGCATGCTATATGACTATGTTATCCATCACTGTGCAACATGTAGTATATGTATGCAGTCGGCTACCGCTCTAAAGTTGTCCATGTTTGTATATTCCTCCCTAAGTTTGCCTGCAATGCGTACAACATGATGCAACATGAGTATTTGATTCCGGAGCGATGTTATTTCATGTTGTTTCTCAGTTTTGGACCGCAGCCACATTTCATATTTCATAATCATATGTAATGTTCCACTTGCGCGGTCCATACCAGAGCCGAAAGTGAAGAAGTCATAGATCTAAGGTGCTGGGGCTTGCACTTGACTATGATATTTTCTTGCTTGGCCGTGCTCTGGCAGCAGCTAGTTGTGGACTGTGAATCAGACAATCCCACAAGGCATATGGTCCAGGGCATGGTCCAGCACTTGAGTTTTAAAGGGCACCGGCCTGCAACAAAAGGTGAATCGAGCAGGTTGGACAAGTCAACTTTTGGCGAGATGAGCAATGCCAAATGTTTTCGTTCAACTCATGTTCAGAGATTCGTTTGTGCTATGGATTGACAGGAATGACAGAGCTTCGAGAACGAGGTCTTCCTACGCTTGATGCTGTCAACTCCTGAGCTGGGTGAAGTGTTGGCAAGTGCAGCCAATGCATCCAAGAGTATCCAAGAGTGATGTTATAGTGATGTTCTATAGCTGTCCCATCCTTCAGTACAGTCAAATCATGATGAGGTTGCAGACGGTGTGGCCCAAACTGGTCATGTCATCACTTGCGCAGGACTTGCTCGCAAGTGGCATCCATTCACATGATTCCACTGGATTGAACTTTCGCTTGGTAGTTCCCAACTGGCAGAACGCATCTGAAGTATCTCCCTGTTTCTGTGAGGACTGATGATGGCAATAGCCTTTGGAGGAATGTTGCTTTCTGACGTGCGACACTGGCTCGCAGACTTGCTGGGAGAACTGCATTGCATCACTACAAGTTGAGGAGCATGTCATCCAGGTATGATCATTTTGGACAATATAGGAAAGGTACCTGCTGAATCTTGACCCACGTGACACAATATATATATAATTATATATATATATATAATTATATATATATGTATATATATAATAATTATATATATATGTATATATTTAATTATATATATATAACAAACAAATAAAACAACATTGATAATCACACATACATCACCACAAATCTTGAATATTGGCACCCGTGCAATCCGAACTTTTGCTCGACTTTGCTTTCAGGTACCCGGCATGAGACAGTTGTCCTTCATCTTCACCCTAGGAGTGCTCATCGCTTCTTGGCCAACACGACACAATCACAGCACAAAGCTTACATCTAGGGGAGTACGGAACACAAATGTCAACATGTTGTAAATTGCGATGGATGAATAACTATTTTATAGTTATAATAATATATATATATAATTATATATATACGTACAATGGTAGAGCTTTGCAGGTGAATGCCCGGGGAGTTGGTGTGGTTTCAAGCTACTTGGAACCCTGAGTGCCCACTGACATTTGATCACAGCTATTTACAACCTTCCATGATCTGGATTTTTTTTGCTGCTTCCATTTCCCCTGGCACTTTCACTACTTAGGATACTTTTGTGGTGCGAACCATTGTGACACCTGCTTTGACAGCTGCACTGGGTGAGGCTAATTGGTGGCCAAGACAGTTCAAGGATTCGGAATGATATGGAATGACCAGCATTCAAACCCTTGGGACTCGAACAAACACACATGGAGAATCACCTTTATAATCCTTTATAGGGATTCATCATCAGCATACCATGAGGATCCATGAGGCATTTTAGACGCGGCCATTTCAACAGTATTTCAACGAATCTCGTTGAACTGTCGGCCTCAAGCTGAGACTGCTAGCCCAAATTGAATCAAGTGTAAGAGACGATGAGTAGTTGACAAAGTTCATGAGATGACAAGGCTAATGAGTCATGTCTTCCAAGCAAATGTATCTACCTAAGCAGCTCTTTACAGAATACATAATTTAATATATTGATGCAACACTTTCACATGCGAACAAGTTTGTGGCCAACTTATGTCGGCTGTTCTGTTGGAGTAGTTTGTTGATTAATGTTGATTACATAATCTTAATACCTCTAGATTGTCATACATATGTAGATGTGAATAGATGTATGTTCTACATACATTGGATGCAGTTAGAATGTGGATGTTCAGAGCCTGCCTGAGTGGCTGCAACAATCCGCTGGCCAACTGTTTCACCCGCAAAAAAGCAGCATGGGTCACTGCCTGCAGTACCTACAGAAGGCCAATTTCTATTCAGCATCGGCATCGGAAGTTGAGCTCAACAACCTCACTTGGAATTCCCAATGAACTCCAGTGACCCGAGTGATGAAGACGTTTGTAACACATACACATACAACATCATACAAATATATATATATATAAAAGCTCGCGCAATGTATTTTTAAAGCCTTGCCGTCTTGGAGAACCTCCACAACTTCCAAGACACAGTACTACTGCCACCTCCTTCCTCTGAGGCGTCGCATCTCTGACGCAGGCCAGATCTTCGCTAATGTTTACAGTGACCCCAAGGAGTTTACCACGATCTTAACCTGAATTTTCTGTGGCAAGGAATCTACTGTTCTATCCGTTCTACGTTAGATTTGTATTTGGACCGCTCCTGATCAAAAGACACCACCACCAACAACACCACCAACAACACCACCACCACCACCACCACCGCCATCATCCATCATCCATCATCCGTCATCCGTCGTCCGTCGTCCGTCGTCCATCGTCCATCGTCCATCATCATCATCATCATCATCAGCCGCAGATTTCCAACCACCGAAGCTGCGGGGCATGCTTTGCCCAGAGAATTGATGTTTGCGGCCAAAGTTTGCAGGGGAAAACGTGCTCAAATCAACTTGTTTATTTTCTTGCACTTCCTGAATCTCAGCAGGCGAGCATATTGGAAAGAACAGCCAGTCCAAACCCTAGACTCAAAGACTCACAATTATGGCATATGGTATTCGTTTAGCCAGAGGAAGGTTTGAGATGCACATCACCTTTCACAGCTTATCCATATTAGGTTGGCTTGGTGACCAATTCCATCGGTTGATCCTACAACAGCGTTTTGATAAGACTTCCTAGCCAGCAACGGTGGGATCAAGGCTTATTGATGGAACGAAGCTGCCGACGATCCAGACGGTGCCTCGTTTGTTCCGGGGTGATCATCAGCAGAGTTGCCATGCAGCTTGCAGCTGACCTCAATATGTAAGCGAAACGAATCAACAGATGGCGGCTAAGCATAGCCAAGAACTGTTGAAGCTGGTGCTGCCTTGAAGTTTGGTGCCCCTCAGACATTCGAGATGGTTTGGTTTGCTGCATTCCTCCTGCCCGCAGGCCAGAGGCATGCAGGCTTCACCAAAGGTGGCTGAAGACTTAAAGGGTTTGTGGGTTTGGGCCATGCACACCTCGAGCATACTTGCACCTGAGCAGCTGGCAATCTCATGTCCCACAATCAACTCTTGTGATCTCTTGTGTAGCATTCCAGCCTTGACAAAGGCCACTCCACCTATGAGCCGACCTGGCACAGGCAGTTGGGGTGAGCAGCATGGAGCCGTCTCGTTTGGAGTCTTGCGTGATGAAGTCTCACCTTCGTTCGCCTTCAACAATTGATATGTCAAGGCGATGAGTGATATCGACAACGCTTAGCATGGCTTGGCCCTTACATGCGCCCGGTGAGCATAGAATGGCAAGATATCGCAAGTCCATCAGTCCATCAGCTGTGCGTCAACATGGCGCTCCGATCATGCATGTTTGCTTTGTTTTTGGCAGAGATTATCAGAGATTTCAAACTGACAGTTCAGTAGATTTGTTTTTCTTTGCAACAGGTTCTCCGAGCTGAGAAATCATTATTTCATGTTTGCCGTACGGCAGAAAGCGATTATATTTTGAGCACAGGCTGATTCCAACACTCTTGACCCAAAAGGGTTGTGTTGGAAGGAACTGGCATAGAGTGTCGGTGAGTTTTGATTGCAACGTTCGGGGGTGCTACATACTACATAGGCTAAACAGGCCCCGTTTTTGCACCAGTTGCAACATAGATTCTATCGCCCTTGCCAAGCAAGTGCGTTTCAAATGAGCTAGAGGAAGGTCGTGGACCCAGAAAATGTATTGCATTTTGCAGAATGGGGTTCTAGAATGTTCTAGATACCCTCGTTGAAAAAACAACCGAAAGTAGCTCCTGGGGGGGGGGCAGGTCGGGCAAAAAAATCGCCATGATAAGTTTGTTTTTGAACATGTTTGAACTCTGTGTATTTTAAAACACATGTTTGTGACCGCTTGTGTGCTTCGCTCAGCTGGATCAATTGGGTGGGTTGGCCAGTGAGAAACTGAGCCCTTGTCAACTCGCCTCTTGCACGGAGAGGCTGGGATTGCAAACACCATGCAAATTGCAATGATTTGACCTGTTTGCTGTACTTGCATTATATATTGTATATGCATGAAATTTTGATTTTCGTGTAATTTCGTATATATGGACAGGCACTGTTGCAACAACTGACCCAAACATCAATTCGCAATAAGGATTTTGTATTGTGTCCTAATCTCGCATATTTGTGTTCCAGTCCTTTTCCAAGTTCGTTGAACACCACCTTGGGGAAGGCTGGAGATGGCGCTGTCCGCCGTGTCTCTATGCAGAGGCCACATGAACACCTGAAGACAGTCGATTCTGTGATGTTTTTTTTTTGACAGAGCAAGACAAAGCAGGTCGGAACATTTTTTTCCCAACTGTTTTTTTCTCCCAAGTGTATCATATATATTGTATCTAACTGTTTAACTTCATTCCAGATATTCCAGAGTTTTGGGATCAGGCAGCTGTTTGGAACCCTGAGTGGGAGAAATTTGTTCTCGCAGCACCGGTCGGCACCGTTGCTGGCAGAATCACCTGGTGCAAGCGAGATGGCTGGATTGCGTGCTTTTCTCCGAAGCTGGGATCTCAGTGGGAAAGGTGGTTCAGTAAATGATATAGATGATTGTGAAATTGTGTTTATTGCAGATGATCAAACAGTGTATATGTTTTCAAAATTTTGATTTGGATACCACCAGCTGAGGCCGATGTGGAAGCCTCAAGGTGGATCAGTGGACATTTTTTTCTGAGGTTTCATTTCAGCCAAGTATTCGCGGTTCTGATCACTGTAGCATTGCCAGCATTGCTGTGATTTTTGGAATAAATTTATCCATTGATCAATGAAATCAATGGAATGGACCTTTGTAGCGTTTTCAATCTGTTTCCGTGTTTTCCATTGTTCCCCACCTGCCAGGTGAGGGTTGTTAGATTTTATGTCAGTTGCCTCCTCCTTCTCCTCCTCCTCCTTCTCCTCCTCCTCCTCCGCCTCCTCCGCCTCCTCCTGCCTCGTCCTCCTCCTCCTCGTCCTCCTTGTCATCCTTCTCGTCCTTGTCGTCCTCGTCGTCCTTGCTCAACTGCGATCCGCGATCCACAGTGTTCTCTGCCGGACCTCAACCACGACCACCCACGCCCAGTGTTCCCTGCCGGACCTCAACCACGACCATCCACGCCCAATGTTCCCTGCCGGACCTCAACCACGACCATCCACGCCCAGTGTTCCCTGCCGGACCTCAACCACGACCATCCCCGCCCAGTGTTCCCTGCCGGACCTCAACCACGACCATCCACGCCCAGTATTCCCTGCCGGACCTCAACCGCGAGTATCCACGCCAAGTGTTCCCTGCCGGACCTCATGTAGGAAGATATGGGACAAAGAATGTGCAGAAGAAAGTTAGAAAGAATGTCAGAAAGAACGTCAGAAGATATGCCAGAAGATATGCCGGATAGAATGCCAAATAGAATGCCAGATAGAATGCCAGAAGATATGTCAGAATATATACCAGAAGATATGCCAGATAGAATGCCAGATAATATGCCAGAAGATATGCCAGATAGAATGCCAGATAGAATGCCAGAAGATTTGCCAGATAGAATGCCAGATTGAATGCCAGAAGATATGTCAGATAGAGTGCCAGAAGATATGCCAGATAGAATGCCAGAAGATTTGCCAGATAGAATGCCCGAAGATATGCCAGAAGATATGCCAGATCATATGCCAGAAGATATGCCAGATAGAATGCCAAATAGAATGTCAGAAGATATGTCAGATAGAATGCCAGAAAATTTGCCAGTAAGAAAATGTATAAATGTCATGGTGGGGATCACACGAAGTAAAGTAATTTTCAATTTTTTCCGGTTTAATGCGTATGCAATAAATACGATCTATTACGATCTTAACGGAGGGAGTCTTGAAATGTCTTGAAGGAGTATTACAGAACTTCATTACGTGGCCGGCAAATCCTCCAGCTCATTCGACCCAGTTGCAGGGAGCCTTTGCGGAGCTTGATAGCCATGATGTCGGACAACTCACCAGTGACGACTTTGTAAAGGCCCACGGACTAGTATGACTAGTGGCAATGGTGAGGGAGAAGTTGTGAATAAGTTCCAATGGATTCCAGTACTCTGGGAGGTGCATGTGAAAAATGTTTGGGTTTGCAGCGTCGGAAGTGTGTTTGCTGTTTGCAAGTTTTTTTCTCGCTGGATGAGATGCAGTAGTATACTCTTTGAATGTAAGTTGATGATATTTTCAGAAGTTCTCCATCAAACTATATATGATTATATATGTATAATCATGGTTTTCGCAAACTGCTTCAGGGCTTGCAC